TGGTCCCCCCGAGTGGCATTGAGCAGAGACTGCTGATGTTCATAGGGGGAGGGGACCGGAGGGGAGGCACAGTGACTGGCCCATAGAAGAAGCTGGGTCCTCATGCTACGGGCTGACCCCTGGCTGGTATGGCCCACCTGCCTGTCTCTTATACACATCTAGATGTGTATAAGAGACAGCTCTCTCTCTCTCTGTGTGTGTGTGTGTGTGTGTGTTTGTATGAAGGGTGTGTGTGCGTGTGCCTGTGTATCCCTCTGAGAGTCTCTATCTATTTATGTCTATCGCTGTCAATCATTTAATCTATTAATCTATCTATCCATCAATCGTTCGATCGAATTCCTTTACGAGTTAGAGAGCATTTAGCAATAGCTTGTCCTGCCACAAAAGATTCCTAATATGGGAAAAAAAGTGGCTTTTTGCAAATAGCAAAGAAGGCAGGGGAGAGAAAAGCAAGGACACCTACGCTCCCCATCTCTCTCAAGATCAGCGGCATCTCCTCCACTCCCTTCAGGCACCTCCTCCATCCCCACCAAGCCCCACTTTCCCGTCGGTCAAGTCGCATTTTCCCGTCAACCCTACATGGCTTTCTGTTTGAAAACCTTCCCTCTTCCTCTTCCGCTTCCGCTTCCGCTTCATCCCCCTTCCGCTTCCGCTTCATCCCCCTTCCGCTTCCCCTTCATCCCCCTTCTGCTTCCGCTTCACTGCCCGACCGCTGCCGCGCACATTCGGAGAATCCGCCCTGGATCTGCATCAAAGACAAACTTGCCGCAGTCCAGCAAAATGTCTTTTTATTTTTTTTCGATGTCTCATCCATGATCCCTAATCTAACGGACTTCCCCCTGTCTCTTATACACATCTAGATGTGTATAAGAGACAGGTGTTAAAGCCCACCAGTACATGGGAACCTGGGCCGCGGGCCTGACACCTGAAATTCTGGAGGCACGAAAAAACGGGGGACCCGCCGATGGAATTTATCAACGGCGGGCCCAGCGTTTGACGTTTCGGCCTCTCTCATTTTCAGGGGGGGCGACAATTTTCGGCCTGCAAGGCTGAGGCCGTGTACTTGTGGTTGGTCATAAACTATACGACAGGGATACAACAGCCTTATTAAAAATCAGCGAGATCAGGGAGATCAAGCTGAATCTGTAATAGGACGAATTAGATTTCTTGCTGTTCTCTTTACTGCAGACGAATTCTGTAAGTCGAAGTTAAAATACATCAACACCAAAAGGAGAGGACGAAGAAGAGGAGGAGGAGGAGGAGGGGGAGGGGGAGGAGACACAGAAGACGAGGACAAGGAGGAGGAAAAAAGCAAGAGGGAGAGAATGAGGAAGACAAGGAAGAGAAGAAGGAACGAAAAAAGGAGGTGTAGCAGAAGGACGAGGAGGACGAGGAGACGGGAATGCCACAGAGAGAGAGAGAGAGAGGTGACCTCCAGGATGTGATGAGTAGGCCACCAAGTGGCACGCACGCTGGTGGGCACCGTATCAGAACTTCGCATGTTAAACCATCACTACCTTTCACTACTCCCTGGTTACCATGAGACCCGCCCTTTTTGAGTTCG